GCTGGGACTGAAATTTTGTATCTGGATATCACCCACAAATAGAGTCCACGTGATTATTGGGGTTTCTCTTTCATTTAAATATAGATAAATAACAATTAGAGAAGTGGATGCACAAGGGTGACATTGCCAGTGGGAGGTTTGGAACTAGATGAGATTTAAGATCCCTTCCAACCCAAACCATTCCCTGATTCTACAACTCGCAGCCCTGTGCTTGTCTTTTAGCCACCCACTGCTGCAGGCATCTTTTATGGAAAATCCTTTCCTTAGAATTTTTCCTCCTGAGAAGCTGAGAAGCCTCAGGAACAAAATGTAAACAATGATTATCTGCTGCTGTAGAATGCAACAGGTGCATCTGGGATTGGTCTCATGTTGGATGTTTGTAATTAATGGCCAATCACAGTCAGCTGGCTCGGTTTCTCTGTCCGAACCACAAGCCTTTGTTATCATTCTTTCCTATTCTATTCTTAGCTAGCCTTCTGATGAAACCTTTTATTCTACTCTTTTAGTATAGTTTTAATATAATATATATCATAAAATAATAAATCAGCCTTCTGAAACATGGAGTCAGATCCTCGTCTCTTCCCCAATCTGAAAACCCCTGTGAACACGGTCACAACCCACAACTCTGTTTTCCCATGACTTCTATGAATAGCTCATTTTTTTTCTCAGCTTTGCTTTCTATTGGAATTTTTTATTTTTTTATCACTCCCTTCACTGTGAGCCACACCACGGAGTCAAATGCCACCGAGATCTCTTGCAGGAGTGCGATGATGTGACAAATAGAGCTGACTTCTCTCCTGTCCCTGAGCCACACAGCACTTTGAGCTGCACCACCTCGGGTCTCACAGCAGGCAGAGGTGCGAAGGATTCAGGACAAAACCATCAGCAGGGATTTTGCTGGTGGGAACCAGGGTGTGCCAAGGCCAGGAACCAAGCAAGGATGAGGGATCAGCCCCTGGAGCAGGTAATGGCCCTGATCATGGCATGCTCAGGTGGGTCAGCCCTCCCCATTCCCTCTTCCTCGATCATTTTGGGCTGATTGAAGTGCTGGGGCTCCCATTGCTTCCCACTGGGAAGATTGCACTCTGCCCTGATACATCCAGCAATTTCAGCCCTTCCTGCTGACATTTTTACTTCCTTATTTCTGCGTCTCCTTAGCTCCCCTGCTTTTCATCCCCTCCCATCCCTCCACGTCCAGGCTGTTGGCAGAGCTATCACCAGCGCAATAAGGGATGGCAGGAAGGGTCCCTGTGAGTGGTAATTGTGTGCCTTGGGTGGTGTGACAGAGGACAAAGCCCAGAGCTGAGAGTCTCAAACCACTTGACAAGAACAATAATTGTCCCGAATGGTGCTGCCTGCAGAGACTTATTGCTGTTATCAAATGAAATATCTCTGGGAAAGACAGGGGGAGAGGCAGATCTGCCTCCTGACAGGGCTGAGCACCCAGGGGTCATCAGTGCTGGATGTGGCATTAGTGACAGACAGGCTGCTCACACCTGGGTGTCCTGAGAGCATCTTTCACTGGACTTGGAGCCACTTAGAAAAGGTGCTTAAGCTGGCTCTGACTCCTGGTATAAATCCTGAGGGAAGAGGAAATGCAAAGCAGAAGTTAAGGCTCTTTCCCTGATTCTATCCCATGTGAAAATAGGAAAAATCCTGAGTTTTGCAGAATTTTTTTCTGTCAGAGACAAATTTGAGCTCCTGGGTGCCTCGTATGAGATGGGAGGGGGCAGATCTTGGAGAACAAGGCAGGACTGACTGCTTAGTCTAGCATGCAGCACCAACAGAGGGATCTGCTGGCAGGACAGCATCCCTTCAGGGACATCACAGCACATCCTCCCACCCTCCCCTGGACCTCCTCCAAGCCTGCAATGCAGGTGCTACCTTCAGTGCCTCCTCCAGCAACTGTGCTGAGTAAAACAGCTCTGTCAGAGGGGGTTGGTTGGATTTGCAAACAGGCTCAGACAGCTCTCTCCAAAGCCAGGTGACCCCCGGAGCAGAGGCTCATTGTGCTGCAGTGGCTCCTGCCTGAATGCTAATTCTGGCAGGGAAGGAAATAATCATGATGGAGACAGATCTCCAGCACTCCTTCCCTATTGTCTGTGTCCTCTGCCACCTGCTCCACCAGCCAGGGCTTCTCTGCTGCCTTTTTGTATCTCTCTGAATGCTGCTTTCTTTTGTCTGCCTCTCCCTTCCACATCTCTTTCTCTCAGTGTCTGGCAAATTCCAAGCAACAATGAAATAACATTTCTCAGGGGAAAAAAAAGGAAAGAAGAAAAGAAGAAAGACCTCAAATCAGAGAGTCAAAGCTCCTTCAAAAGGAAGGGGAAGAAAAGGGGTGGAAAGGAAAGACAAGAGAAGGAAAGGGGAGGAAAGAAAAGACAAGGGAAGCAAAAAGAGGGAAAAAGGAGGAAAGCAAGGGAGAGGAAAAGGGGAGGGCAGAGGGAGAGAAGAGGCAGAAACAGGATAGAAAAGAGTTGGTTTTATTCCCAAATGAGCTTCTCTCCCTGGAGAAGAATTAAATCCACCTGGGCCACCAAAAGCACAGGACAAGCATCCTGCAGACAGCACTAAGAAAGTGAGGCCATGCAGTGCCTTGGCACCAGCCTGAGGCTCAGCCCTACCACCCTCTGCAGCTCTGGCTTAGGAAAACACACATTAAAGTCAAAATGGTGCAGTCACAGCACTCAGACATCCTATGAGCAAATCCACCGGGGGACTCATCAAACCCCACTTCTCCAGTCCCAGGCACTGGCAAGTTCTTGGAGCATGCAGGTAGTGTGGGAATAATCACCATTGCCTGTCAAAACCACTCTTTTAGTGGGTTCTGCACAGTGGAATGCTGAGGCTGGCTGGAGTTACTTTCCTGCTCAGCCCAACTATGCTTAAATAATCCTTAAATGAGATAATTCATTGGAATACCTAAGTGTGCCAGAGAATTCCTGACTCTAAAGAGTCATTAAAGGTCTGTCTTGCCTGCTAAGGCTCTTTGGACAGATATAATCTCTGCCCACCACCATGCAATTCCCCCTTAGCTTCCACCATTTAAAAAATAACACTCTAAAGAAAATGTGCATCCCTCCTGAACTTCCCAGTCTGTCCATTTCTAACCTGAAACCTGAATGCTCACAGGTCATTAACCAGTAATGGAAATCAGGGAGAGATGGGAGGGAGGGAGGGAGACAAAGGAACAAATAAAGGAACATCGGTGTGGAAGTTGCTTGTTTGCAACAGATGTAAAATGTGTGAACTGCCTGCAGTCCTCAGCCCTGCTTAATGCAGCAGAATGTGTTGTGACAAGCACTGCCCAGCGTGGAGTGGCTAAAGCCTGTAATTAGCTCTTTGACTAATAAATCATCTCGCAGCAGCAGCAAAGGAGATGACTCAATGCATATCCTGGAGACATGGATAAACCTCTGGAGAAGCAGGGGCCTCCATTGCATTGGGTGCTGACTGGGTTTGTCCCCAAAAGTGACATTGCTGTGGTGACAGCACTGTCGTGACTCACACAGGTTCCTTGCAAGGAGAGTCACAGGTCCTGCCCTTCAGGTGGGGAGCTGGAGGTGGGCAGGGACAGACAGGCTGCTCAGAGGGCATGTCAGGGCTGGAGGAAGGTTTGACTCAGCCTGATCCCATCCATCCTTGGATGGCATTTGGTGCAACCTGGTGCAGTGTTGGTGTCCCTGCCTGTCGCAGACATCTTTTATGGAAAATCCTTTCCTTAGGATTTTTCCTCCTGAGAAGCTGAGAGACCTCAGGAACAAAATGTAAACAATGGTTATCTGCTGCTGTGGAATGCAACAGGTGCATCTGTGATTGTTCTCATGTGGTTGTTTCCAATTAATGGCCAATCACAGTCAAGCTGGCTCAGACAGAGAGTCTGAGCCACAAACCCTTGTTATCATTCTTTCTTTTTCTATTCTTAGCTAGTCTTCTGATGAAATCCTTTCTTCTATTCTTTTAGTATAGTTTTAATATAATATATATTATAAAATAATAAATCAGCCTTCTGAAAGATGGAGTCAGGTCCTTATCTCCTCCCTCATCCTAAGACCCTTGTGAACACTGTCATACCTGCCCACACAAGGGGTTGGAACTGGATGATCTTCAAGGTTCCTTTTAACCCAACCCATTCTGGGATTCTGTGTTCTCACCTTCTTCCTGACCTGTGTCATGCTGGCACATGTCAGACTGTTTATACGGGGTTTTATCATCAAACTCCCCCAAAATAACCTTCACTCTCACGTTGACATCAACACCTGTCCCACTGGAAGCCCTTTTTGTAGGAATATGAGCAGGTTAAGCTGATATTGCTGCCTGTGGGTCGCAGCTGAGGTGCTCCAGCCCAGCCTGAGGATGAGATCCAGGGGCAGAAGCAACAACTGAGTGGTGGCACCAGCCAGCCCAAGGCGAAAAATGGGCAGTCTCAAGCTACCAGCCAACCTTCTCCTGCCTGAGTTTGGAACCACAGAATCATGAAAGCTGGAAAAGGCCTCCAAAATCATCAAATCCAACCTTTGAACACTCCTGCGCCCACTAGACCCTATTGTGAAGTCTGCACCTCGTTTGAACTCTGCCAGGGATGGTGACTCCTGCCTTCATTCTATTTAAATGTTTAACTACTATTCCAGTGAAGAAATTTTTCTTAATATCCAGCCTGAACCTCTCCCAGGGATGGTGACTCCACCACTGCCTTCATCCTATTTTAATGTTTAACCAGTCTTCCTGTGAAGAAATTTTTCTTAATATCCAACCTCAACCTCCCTTGGCACAACTTGAGGCCATTTCCCCTTGTCCTATCACCATGTGCCTGGGAGAAAAGCCAAACCCCAACCTCACCACAACCTCCACGTTGTTCCAGAGAGCAATAAACTCTCCCTTGAGCCTTCTTTCCTCCAGATAACCAACTCCAGCACCCTGAATGAGGTGAGAAGGGCTGTGCCAGGAGCCCATCTCCCCTGGGCACAGTGCTGTGGGCACGTGTGTCCCCTGCAGCTCACCGAGGTGTTCTGGCACTGCACGCTGGAGCTGTTGAACCTCAGGGCCGGCACCCTCTGCTCGCTGCCCTGGATGTTGAGGATGCACTCGTAGCCCCGCTGGCCTGACTGGGGCTGGGGCAGGTTCTTGGCCTTCAGAGTGATGGGCTTGATCACCTCCACGGGCACCAGGATCTTCTCGGCCTGCAGCAGCTGGGGGCAGTCCTGGGGAGAGAGCAGACACCAAGACAAGTCAGCACATGGGTTTGCCAGCCTCAGGAAGAGTCCTGTGGTGTCGCAGATGTCTTTTAATGAAAATCTTTTCCTTAGGATTTTTTCCTCCTGAGAAGCTGAGATGCCTCAGGAACAAAATGTAAACAATGGTTATCTGCTGCTGTGGAATGCAACAGGTGCATCTGTGATTAGTCTCATGTTGGTTGTTTTTAATTAATGGCCAATCATGGCACAGCTGGCTCGGACAGAGAGCCTGGGATAGCTGCCTTTGTTGATTCATTCCTTTCTATTCTTAGCTTAGCTAGCCTTCTGAGATGAAACCTTTTCTTCTATTCTTTTAGTATAGTTGTAATGTCATATATATCATGAAATAATAAATCAAGCCTTCTGAAATATGGAGTCAAATCCTTGTCTCTTCCCTCAGCATAAGATCCCTGTGAACACCGTGACACTGTGGTGCTTCCCAACCTTCTCAGTTTGCCTGATTACAAAGCCTTTGCAGCTCCCTGGGCTTTGGTTAATAAAGGAGCATTCTCCTTTATGAATGCTCCTCAAGGAGCATTCCTGGGTAGGCTCAGATAAACAGGTGAGGAAGGATTGCTTTCCTTCCTCCTTTCCTACATACCATCCCTTCCTATCTCCCTGGCTTATTTCAGCCTCCAGGACCCAGGGAAGACACCTCTGGTACTTTTTTATACCTGCCCTGTTTATTCAGGTAATGGAAAAGCAATCATGTTCTCTCCACAGACTTAACCCAGTCACAATGCCATGATAAAAGTGAATAAAGCAAAAATCTGAGCACAATTCCTCACTTCCCAACAGCCAACACACCACTGTACAAAAGGCACAGCTCCAGCAAGACCTGTTGGAACCTATGGAGTCAGGGTTGTTAAAAAGAGAATTTATTTTGGCTCAGAAGAGGACAAAATATCCATTGCAGAGATCTAGACCCAGCTGCCAAGAAACAACAGTCACAAAAAGCATGGAGACCCCTTGGAAAAGCTTTCCACTGGCTCACAAAAGGAGAAATGCCAAGTGGATGTTGCTAATGTGGTGCTTTTTCATGGGTCCCTCACACAGGTGAACCCTGGGCACCCAAAGCTGCCTAACAGGTGGCTGCATTTAAAATTTCATTAATTAGCACAGCTTAATTAGACAGAGTAGACATGCTCTGCTTCTTCATAGCACAGTCAGGCAGCTGCAAGATGTCCCTTTCATGGATTCTGGGGTGATATCAGCTCTTTAGGAAATTACTGCAGCCTTTGCCTGTCCTGCCCAAAGTTAAACCCAGGTCCAGTTGGTTCCAGTAGAGACAGGGAATTGAAGGTGAGGGCAGGAGGAAAATGAGTGATTCAGGGCAGAAGAGTAGGGAAGGGTTCAAAAGTGGAATTTATGGCTCATTGAGAGCCTGGGATCTTGTTAGAGCAGATGGTGGGAGCATCTTAGTGAAGCAAATAGCTGAGGGAGATAAAGAAATGGATCAGATGTGCAACATCTGTAGCTACACCAACCAGAGACAGAATTATCAGAGCCAACAAACAGCACATGGAGGATGTGAGCTCATCCCTGGCCAGGGGCAGGCAGAAAATCCAGTAACCACCCAATCCATCCCTGCAGTGAAAGTCCAGAACTTTCCCCAGGCCCAGAGAGGATCTGAGGGTCTGTCCTAAGGGGCTGCCAGACTGAGGAGCCTGAGAGATGATTTTTCATCTGCATTTACAGGGTGATGCTCATGGAAGAAGTAACTGAGAGCCACTGATGGGCTTCAACTGGGCTGGCACCAGAACCAGGAGAGCCAAGCACAGCCCCTGGAGCTGGGTGGAGCTGAACCACCTCAGATCCAGTGGCTTTTTTGCCTGAGATAATCTGGCACAAGGCCTGACTTGATGTGTGATGCCAAGGCTTAACAGGCCATGCCATTAACCTGGCTGGAAGGAGGAAGGGTTGGAGGTGGAAAACCCATGCAGTACTGCAATGCAGGGATGAGCTTTATCACTGCCACCCTCTGCACTCTTGGGGCTGCAGGATTGAGGAGCTACACCCTGATCCAGCCCTCCCTGTCCTTGCTGCTGTTCTGTTCTGTGATGGAACCTCTCCAGGGAGCTCCTAATGCTGAAACACAATGGGTAAAGCGTCACTGAAACATTTTTCTTGATAAAAGAGCAAGGCTTAACCATCTGGAAAGTCTTCCCAAGCTTGGGTTCAATGGTTCTACCATACCATGGCACACCAGCATGAAGGCTCCTTGCAGCTGCTCAGCACAAAAAAGTGAGGCATAATCTGTAATCCTGGCTGATTTAAGACAAATAAAAACCCCAGAGAGCAGAAGAAGGAGGTGATCTAGGCTATAATAAAGAGTTTTCATTACTGATCGCACTAGCAGATGCAGACACCATTTGGGACCTTTATCTTCAACACCCCTGACCCTTCCCCATCACCTGCCCAACAAATCCTGGAGCCTCTGCCTCAGCTCCCTCTCTCTCTCCTGGCACAAGGAAAGACATTGGCAGCAGCCTCTCCTTGTTTGTTTCCAGGAGCTGAGAGAGAGAGATGCCCTGGCAGAGGGAATCAGTGGGGCAGGAGGGTGGGTGAGCCCTATCAGCCGCCGCACAGCCGTTCCCCAGGAGCGGGCATTTCACTTGATGTGTGTCACAGAGAAAAGCCTCTGGTGGGGGCTGTGGCATGGAGGATGGAGATAGTCCACTCTGCTACCTGCAGGCCAATCCCAGCCCTCCAGCCTGGTCTTTCTTGTGGGGCTTTATCCTGTCCCCCTCCACCACTGGTGCTGTAACCTTTCCGATAACACTTGTTTCAAGTTCATTAACGAGCCGTGATTGAGGCAGCCCCAAAACAGGGTTCGTTTGCATATAAAAAGCTTTGCAGTGCTGTGAGGAAGTTCATTATAGATAATTGAAGAGGCAAGCGCCATAAAGAGGAAATCCTCCCAATGTGGCTTTATCTGATTGACCTAATGTTCTTTCTAATTGAAACGGGGAGGGGAAAAGGCAATTTCATTGGGTGATGTACTGCATAAAACCTCAGAGCTTGGACCAGGCTCTGGGTTCAGATTCAAACACAGAACTCATTTTGCAGCCTGTGTCAAGCTTTGGGTGGTTTGTGTTTTTGGGAGTAAAACAGGCCAGGTTTGTATTTTTGGGAGTAAAATGGGCCAGGTTTGTATTTTTGAGAGTAAAACATCAAGCTGACCAGAGTAGACCCAAGCAGAAAGCTTTGTAAAAAAGAGTTATTTTGGACATTTTGCAGTGGAGACACTTTCTCTTCACCCTTCTCCTTGTTTGGAAAAATACAGTTTTCACAGGATGTAGGGAAATAAAATCATAGACTGCCAACAAATGCACCAAGGATGGGCACAATCCCATCCCTTTTTGCCTTTGATATATAATAAATTGAACCTTTTGCCTGACTCTAAGGGGAGCTGGCAATCCAGAGAATCATTGTTGATTCATTTTGTGTGTGTAGCTTCATTCTAGCTCTTGAATGCTTTCAAATGAGTCAGTCCATTTAAAATAATATCTTCCACCCTTGCCAATTACTGGTATCAGCAGCGATGCACACCTCACATCACCAAAATTTTGCCAATTACCGAGTCAGAGAGCTTTTGCAGTGAAACCACTGCACGAAATGAGCTGTACTCATTGGGTCGATGGTAGTTTAATTTTCTTTATTTATAACTCCTCATAGAGCGCCTGCAAATGTGTTTTTGTTGTAGCTAGCAGGAATAATAAAGTCTCAGAAATATGAGGACCTTTTCTCTCACATGTGTGTTATGGCCTTCATCAGAGCTGAGCTGAGTTGGTCTCCAGTGAGAGCCATCGAGAGGATGCTGCTAAAGAGGATGAGGAGGCTTCTCTGAGGCTGTGTGGTCTTAGCCCTGAACTAATTAGTTTGGTTTCTTTATGGTGCTTCATACATCCAGAGTTACGATTTTATGGAGGTTTCACTGTGTTGTTTCCCACTATAAGCTGGAGACTGACAAAACACCCCAAGTTCCTCTCCTAGGAAAAGGCACATCAGGATGTCTCGCAGCCTTGTGATACTGCACAGGTTTTCTCCCAACTTATTTTCACAGTTTCACTCTCTGTTAGTGTTTCTGGCCAGGATTGTGATCCAAAGGATCATTAAAGTGTTTTCCAGTTCCCAGTAGAAAAGGAGTTTTATCTACCTTGGCTGACAGACATTCCACATGGGAACAGGGAACACATCCATGGAGGTTTAATACAATGAACCCCCCACCTACCAACAACCCCCAGGTTTTACTGGGGCTCACCCATCCCCAGTTGTGCATCTCTTGTCAGCCAGAGCATCCAGGGGAGGGAACTTTTCCAGCTTTTCCTTCATACTCCTCCCTCACCATCCCTGGCAGCATTGGCTGGATCTCCTCTTTCCATAGAAGGAAAATAAAGCTCACCTAATGCTGAGGGCACTGGGGGCACCACTGCCCAGATATTAATTTACTTTATTTCTTTACTCAACCCTTGGCAGTGGGTTTTCACCCTTCCTCTCCCAGAAGAGTAGGAGTCACCTCCATTCAGGAACAGACCATTAATTCCTTCACTGCTCCTTCATTACTTCATTCCAGCACTAACTCCATCAAAGTATCCATTTCCTCTTTTCTTCTGCCATTAAAAACCATTTCTTTAGCTTTATAGGGTTTTTTTAAGACTTTCCTTTCAATATCCTTCATCCAGCAAACATCTTTGTACCTTATCTAAGGCATCTTGCCTGAAAAAAAAAATGACCACACAGTGAATCTAAGCGGTGACCAAGATTGACTCACTCAGGCCCTTTGGGACCATGTAAGAAATGAAACTCAGAATGTTATTTACTCAGTTATTACGTAAATAAATACATCTTTTGTTCATCTGCTCTGCCGAGCTGCAATGTTCTGTTTTCTCTGCGTTCCCTCTGGCTTTGTCACCCGCCCACTCTGCTGTAATCAAGTCAAGAGGGTAAGAGTTGAGAGGCAGGGA